ATGGGTTGGAATCGACTCAACAGCACTTAACAACAACAATCCTCCATGATGAGATCTAATATAATGTAATCACTTATATAAGCAGCCAATCAATTGAAAGGAAGTTTCCTCTGGGAGTGTGACCTACAACACTTACAAAGATAAAAGGAGAGAAAAGTGAGCAGAGAAAGAGGGACCTATTACCACTAAGAAAGAAGAGTCGGGATTGGAGTGTGTCCTTTGGATCTGAGCACTGTGAAGCTCCTAGATCCAGGGGGAAGACTGATGCCAAGATGCATGGAGATTTCCCAAGAATGCTGAGCCTACAGCTGCTGAAGGAGGCAAGGACCTTTTACAAGAGCCTGCAAATTGACAAAGCATTCCCCTAGATCCAGCGCTCTGGATTTGCATTCCTAGCCTCCTAAACTGTGAGAGAAGAAACTTCTGTTTGTTAAAGCCTTCCACTTGAGCTATTCCTGTTATAGCAGCACTAGAGAACTATGATAAGATCATGCTTTTGTTGTTAGGTGCTATTGAGTCAATACAGATTCATAGCAACCTTATGCATAACATAACAAAACAATTGTGCCATCCTCACAATTCTTGTTAAGTTCGAACCTACTGCTGCTGCTACTGTACCAGTCCATCTTGTCTAGAGTTTCCCTCATTTTTGATGATCCTCCACTTTAGCAAGTATAATGCCCTTCTCCAGGGACTGGTTCCTCCTGATAATATGTCCAAAGTATGAGAGACAAAGTCTGGCCATCTTGGCTTCTAAGGCACGTTCTGGATGTATTTCTTCCAACATATATTTCTTGATTCTTATGGCAGTCCACAGTACTTTCAATATTTTTCTCTAGCATTATAACTCAAATGCATTAATTCTTCTATGGTCTTATACATTGTCCAATTTTTACATGCACATGAAACTACTGAAAATACCATGGCTTGGGTCTGGTACACCTTAGTCCTCAAAAACTTTAAAGACGTTTTGTACAGCAGATTTGTCTAATGCAATACTTCATTTGACTTCTTGACTGCTGCTGAGTGTAGCCAGTCTATAGCCATGTTGATTGTTGATGTTGATGGTGGATTCAAGCAAGATGAAGCTTTCGACAACTTCAATTTTTTCTCTATTTATCATAATGTTATTTATCAGTCTAGTGGTGAGGATTTTTGTTTTCTTTACACAGAGGTGCAACCTATACTGAAGGCTGTAGTCTTTGATCTTCATCAGTAAGTATTTTAAGTCTTCTTTGGTTCCGTCAAGCAAGGTTTTATCATTTGCATATTACAGGTTGTCTTCTTGCCTAATGTTACGTGCCGTACAGTTGGTTCTGACTCATAGCAACCCTGTATAGGATTTCTGAGGTGCTGCTGGTGAGTTTGACTTGCCAACCTTGTGGTTCACAGTCCAGTGCTGATCCTATAGTACCACACCATGAGTCCTCTTGCCTTATCGTTCTTCCTTACTCAACATGTAAGTTTCACATGCACATGAGGCAACTGAAAACACACCATGGCTTGGGCTTTCATCAAATTTGGAAAAAATTGGTCCATAATTTCTTCAAAAAGTTTTTCTGTACCTTCTCCTTTGGAGACTTTTTTTAAAACTCCAATTATACATTTACTAAGCTGCTTGAAAATTTCCTACAAATCATTGATGCTATATTCATTTTTAAAAATATTATTTTTTTCTGTATTTCATTGGATAGTTTCCATTGCTGTGTCTTCAATACTACCATTTTTTTATTCTCCAAGATCTAATCTTCCATTAAACTGTTTATTTTTGCCTTTTAGATATTGTAATTTTCTTTTCTAGAAGTGCACTTTGAGAATGTTGTATATGTTACATGTCTCCACTAAGTTTTTTGAACATGTAGAGTACAGTGGTAATAATTAACACTTGTCAGCTAAATCTAACACATTTGTTAATTTTTGCTCAGTTCTATATTTGATTGTGTTTTTTCCCTATTTTGCTCATATTTTTCTGCTTCTTGTATTCTGATAATTTTTGATTCGATGCATTTCACTTAGTTGTTGTGGATATTAACAACCTGTAATGCACACAACCTTGCTTGCTGAAAGTGATGAGGACTTGGAATATTTATTGATGAAGTTCAAGGACTACAGCCTCCAGTAGAGACTGCACAAAAATCCTCACCACTGGACCAATAAATGACATAATAAATGGAAAAAAGATCTGAGGTGATCAAAGACTTCATTTTGCTTGGATCTACTATCAACACTCGTGGAGCAGTAGTCAGGAAATTAAATGACTTATTGCATTAGGCAAATGTGCTGCACAAGACCTCTTCAAAACGTTCCAGACCAAAGATGTCAGGTGTGGACTAAGGTGTGCTTGACTCAAGCCAGGGTATTTTCAATGCCTTATATGCATGGAAAGTTGGACAGTAGCGAAGACCCTAGGAAAACTGATTTGAGTTATAGTGTTGGAGAAGAATATTGAAAGTACCATGGACTGCCAGAAGAACAAATAAATCTGTGTTGAAAGAAGTGCAGCCAGAGTGCTTAGAAGCCAGGATGACGAGACTCCGTCTCTCATACTTAGGGCATATTTTCAGGAGGGACCAGTCCCTGGAGAAACGACATTATGTTTGGTATGGTGGAGGGTCAATGAAAAAGAGGAAGACCCCCAATGAGATGGATTGGCACAGCAGCAGCAGCAGCAATAAATGGGCTCAAGCATAAGAACAATTGTGAGGATGGCACAGGACTAGGCAGTGTTTCATTCTGTTGTGCCTACGGTCGTTATGAATTGGAGCCAACTCGATGGTACCTAACAACATAAATATTGTTCAGATTTGTTATGGGACTCAGTTTCTTAAAAATCATGTGATTCTTTCTGGAAAGATTTGACAGGTGAAACTATATTTAGAGCCATGCTTAGTGGTAAGGATCCCCTTTAGTGGTGTAGGACCCTTCTGTGTACCTCATGGTTTATGAAGCTTTCCAGTTTGGAAAGTTACTTAACCTCTCTGTTAAGTAACTGTTTCTGACTCTATGTGAGCAACGGGTATTCTTTCCCTCTATTCCTTCTTTGTTTCATTTGGGTAATGTTTTTTACATGATCTTCTCTGAAGTTCTTTCTGTCTGGTATTATATTCTGCATACTCTAGCAGTCTAAGTCTATATGGATTCTGAGCTCTACTTTATCAATTTGAGGTTTGCTGGGCTTGGCCTGGGTTGTCCCTTCATGTACTGTGACCCATAATCTCTCTCAAGGCAGTCAGTAATTGCACAACTCTTCTATTTCCTGCCTCTCAATGTTCACTGTCCATTTTTGTCTAATATTCCTTATCTTGAAAATCACAATTTTATATGTATTTTTTCCAGTATTTTGGTTGCTTCAGATGGGATGGTAAATTCAAACCTTGTTACTCCATTTTGACCAGAAGTGGATACAAAAAAGTGGATGTTTATATCTGTATGGTTTAAGACAGTTTGTTTTGTTTGTTTACGATAAGTTTTCATATAATTCGGTTACAACCATCCTAGCCCTAGTCTGTAGGTTAGCATTTGAGAACCACTACGCTAACCCTTCTGGATGATTTCTCACTGATCTCACACATCCATATACCAGTGTTTTTCTTTTTCCAGTTCCTAGTCCTGAATGCTTTCTTCCCCTTTCCTTCCCTGTCCAAGTCTTAAAGACTGAAAGTTTAAACGAAATGCTGTCTTCATCTCAGAGGAGTAAGGCCTCTGCCTCTCTGCAGAGGAAGTCATTCTTTCCCAAATGCTTCCTGATAAAAATATAATAAAATCATTACATTTTTATCATAGGTTATATTCTGCATTTTGTGATCTCAATTTACTCATATATTTGTAAGATCTCTAAGGTTAGGCTCCTTGACTTTCTTGTACAAAGTTGGAATTGTATTCAGTTAATATTTGTTAAGGAATGAGGGAGGGCTTTGAACACAGGAGACCCAATACTGAATCTAAGCAGTAAAGAGAGAATACTCAAAGTTAGCATTAGGTGGCTGGCTGGTGGAGCCTTGTTTTGGTCCAGGCAATGTTAAGATTGGGTTACAAATAGATAGCATCTTGCTTGGTGCATCTGATTGAATGGGATGCTGAGGATTGTAAGGTTACATTAAGTCTCCCTGACAAAGACAGTCATGATTGCTTAGCTATATCTACAATGGTTGTAGAAAGTGGTTACAGTTATGCCATGAATTTTTCAACACTGATAAGAAAAATCTTTCTCTTTTGGTTTAAAATAGATGATAAAAATATTTTCAGATCAACAAAAGAATCATGACTTGAAAATGATTTATGAGCTGCTTTAGGAATGAAAGATAAGTTCAGATAATAAAATACTTGGAATATTTCTGATGTTTTGAAACTTTGGGCTGAGCATGTGGGATATTTTAACAATTTAATAATAATAGGTAATGAGTACAACAGGGATACATCAGGCATCATTCTAAGCACTATACATTTATCAAGGAGCTCTGGTAGCGTAGTGGTTATGAACTGGGCTGCGAACCTCAGCGTCAGCAGTTTGAAACTACCAGCAGATGTTCTGTGGGAGGAAGATGAGGCTTTCTGCTCCTGTGAAGGTTTACAGCCTCCGAAACCCTGTACATAGAGTCGCTATGAGTCGGAATGAACTTCATGGTACATCACCACCATCATATATATATCAACTGATATTCTTACCTACTAACCTAATGAGGGAAGTTCTATTAATATCCCTAATTTGTAGGGTAGGGAAACTGAGGCACAGAGAGGTGAAGTAACAAGTCACACAGCTGTTATGTGTGGCTGTAGAATCTGTGCTCTTATCACTGTTAGGCTGCCTAAGGAACATGTTTTGCAAAGATTGCGAGAGTTGCCTCACATAGTTGTACTTGGACAGCATGGAAGGAATACAGTGAATCTGTTGTTTATTTATATGAAAATGGCCCAAATATTCAAAACCCTTATCTAGGTTGAAAATATTTATCTTTCAGATTCTTAAATCATGCCTGATCTTTTATGTTTTCTTTCTTTAGGATCCCTCGCCAGCTCCATCTTTGATCCACTCAAATATCTTGTGGGTGCTTCAGGGGGAGTCTACGCTCTGATGGGAGGCTACTTTATGAATGTTTTGGTGGTAAGAAGTCTGTTGGGAAATGGAGTTTATGGACTTTTTAAAAAAAGCAGTAACTGGTAAACTGGTATAGTTGATTCTCATGATTTGTAGTAGCGATGCTCTATAAAAGGCCCAGATGGCACAAATGGCTTGTAGTTATCAAGTGTTGTAAAAGTTGGTGGTTCGAACCACTCATCTGCACCATAGGCCTGATGTAAAAATGGTGGCACATTGGGGTCCTTTGACCTCCTCTAGCTTCTCTAGGGGGAGGGAGCATCATTATCAGCATCAACCATCCAAAGCTGACTCCTATGAAGCTGAGGTCATGGGTCATAGGTCCTCTCATCAACCTTTTTACCAAGTCTGACACCAGTTGTCCCTCCCGCTGTGCTCTGTACTTCTCTGCTGGGTTTGATATTCATTACAATGGCCACACACAACTCAGAGACAATACTTACAATTTTAGGTTTTATTTACTTACAAATTTAGGTTTTAAAGGAGCTCTGGTAGTGTAGTGGTTACGCATTGGGCTGCAAACTACAAGGTCAACAGTTCGAAACTACCAGCTGTTTTGCAGGAGAAAGAAGAGGCTTTCTGCTTCCATAAAGATTAACAGCCTCAGAAACTGTGCTAAGAGTCGGAACCAACTCCACGGCACATAACAAACAACAACAGGTTACAATTCAGTATAGTTCTTTGGTTAGGACAGCTTCTTAATCTTACCCACAGGCAGTCCTTTTTCCTAGCCCTCAGCCTACCAATTTGTGGTCCCTGGGGCTTCTAGGAATGACTATGCCTCTGCTCTGCAGAGGCAAGTGTTACAAAGTTCTTTAGCTCCACTGATAAGTGCCAGAGGCAGCCCATTCCAGCAGTAAGTGTTGGCCTGCTGGATGCTATCCCCCGGGGTGAGGCTAGCTCCCTCCTCCCTCAGGTGCTTGCAGGCACTCCATTCTGCCTGAAGGCTCTCAGCTGTGTCACTGTATGGGTGAGGAAGCACACAATGTTGTCTTGGGCCAGTCTCTTGGTTCTGCTGCTGTTGGTTCTCTGTTGCTGCTTCTTGCTGTCTCTGATGTTACAGCTTTCTGCCTTCTGAGTCCAGAAGGCCATTTTAAAACAGTGAAATCACCAAGAAAAAGCACAAAAATGTGGAAAATGTGACACTAACTAGACTGGAAAGGGTATTTGTTTACAGCATAAGAGCTATAACAAAAGAAGGCAGTGTCACTGGGTTGGACCTTAGTTGGGAATATACATCAGTGACCACGAAAGCAGCCCAAGTACTGAGTGGGGGGTTTACAAATCAATTGTAGTGAGTAGGCAGAGTCACAAAAACAGAATTTGCAAATAATGAGGACTGTCTGTATTTGGTTCAGTGGCTCTTCCTTTATCAGTATTTTCTCATCCAATCAAGATAAAACAAATTCTAACCAAAACAGACACCTTGGAAATATTTTATCAGGCTTAGTTTGACAGTTGTTGTTTTTAATGGACATGTCAAGAGTTGATATTATATTACTTATGTTTGGACTGTGGTAAGGAGCTCTGGTAGTGTAGTGGTTAGGAATCAGGCTGTGAACCGCAAGGTCAGCAGTTCGAAACTACCAGCTGTTCTGTGGGAGAAAGATGAGGCTTTCTGTTCCTGTAAAGATTTACAGCCTTGGAAATTCTGTACAGGGTCGCTATGAGTCGGACTCCATGGCACGTAACAACAACAACATGTTTGGACTGCACCAGTACAAATGTATCTTTTATTTAATGAAATTAACCATCATGTTTTCTTTGTTCTTCAAAGCGCACTGTTGTTGTTGTTGTTAAGTGCCGTTGAGTCGGTCCCGACCCATAGCACTAGCACTTTTAATTTCCCAAATATCCATCAGAAAAGTGGGCTGTTACATCAGTGCTTTGTTTTGAAAATATTTAATACTTCAAACTTTAAATGAAAAAGCAGATGATGTGATGCTTCATTTGCCAATACATCGCTTATATGATTATTACTATTTATCTCTTTACAAGAATTTTCGAGAAATGATTCCTGCTCTGGGGATTGCCAGACTACTGATCATCATCCTCATAAGTAAGTGTGTTTTTATGGCTATGTCACACTTTTCATCTTACTGATTCGACCTTCTGAGAACCTTTTCACATTTCTAAAATATTAATCTGTAGGAGGGGAGCATGTGGATATAGGATAAGCACTGGGCTATGAACCACATGGTTGATGGTTTGAGCCCACCAGCCACTCCATGGAAGAAAGATGGCTTTCTGCTCCTGTGAAGATTTACACTCTCAGGGATCCTATGTGTGGGAAATGTCTGGATGGCACTTAACAAAAACAACCTGTAGGGTGATGGTTCTCCTGGAGCCAGAAAGAATTGTTGGCTCCATAGCCGTCAGCAAACAGGTGTAAACGATAGAATATTCACAGATCATGGGGTGGGGTGGAGTGTGGAGGGTGGTCTTCAATGGGACATGCTTTTGTTTTTTTCTCTCTGGAGGGGAAAGCCAGGAGAGTAGAGCTCTCCCCTCCTTGTTGTTGTTAAGTGCCGTTCAGTTGGTTCCCACTCATAGGGACCCTGTATAGGGCTTCTGAGGAGAGGCTAGTGAGCCTGAACTGCTGACCTTGTGGTTGAAACCGACCTTGTGGTCCAGCTCATTAACCCGCAGCACCACACCAGGATGCCATGACAGTGTCATATGCTATATACAGGAATTAGTAGGGGTTCCAGTGTGTAATAAAGCTTGAAAACCACTGGTTTAATCTGCCTTCTTCCTTGATTTATCAATTTCAGACAAAACAAAAAAAAACTGAGATAGGAAACACATTAGCTAATTTCTGTTGAACTGGGACTTGTAGAAGCCAAGTATTCTGATTCCTAACTCACTGCTATTTCCCATACTTTAAGCTTAAAAAAGAGAGAGACAAGGTTTCCCATATTTATATTTTGAATATTCTTTATTAAAGAGAAATTTTTATAAGAAAAATAGCAAACTATTATAAGGAAAACAAGTCTAAGTAGAAATTTCTCACATCTTTTATTAATGTTTTATTGGCTTTCCCATATCTTCCTCATATTCAAACTAAAACTTATGCCATTCACTTGGTTTCAGCATCAGTGATGGGGGGTGGAAAGGAGATTGGAGGGTGGGGCTAGAGGCTAATTTAATGGCTAGTCAGATGTACTCACCATAGTTTCCCATGAACCTGCAATTAGACAGACCCACGTTGCTAATGGCCCAGCACCAATACAGAATGTCAAAAAGCAGGATTCTTCTCCCTGGGAGTCATGCAATGTCACCTGAAAACATGACAAGTGGTTCCATCTTCAGGCTCCCATCAAGGTGGGCTGCAGGTTAGACCCCTTGGGGTCTGAGGCAGAATTCATTGTCATGTCACTGACACAAGAACAGTCTTTTGCTTTTCTACTGTCTTTCACAAAATCCTAGTTTTTAAAAATTCTGTCTAAATCATTTATCATAAGAGATAGAACAAGAGAAAGGAGAAGTGAAAGCATTCCATTTGGTAAGATGGATGGTAACTTCCATATCCAGGGCCTTGTTTCCTCAAATCCTCCCTCATCCAGCTAGTGAAGAATTATGGGACTTCTACAAAAGAGAAATGAGAAAATAAAACCGAGTGATAGGCTACTGCCCAGTCCCTGTGTGTGTGGTAGAGAACAAGAGTAGAAGCAGGGAGACTATCCAGGAGGAAACTCCAAAAATCCAGGCAAGATACAGTTGCTTGGCGTAGGTGTTGGCAGCGCTGATGCTGAGAGGTGGTGAGAGAGGTAATGTGGGAAAGAAAGAGGAGTTTTGGCTCCAGCAACTGGATACAGAGTTTCCAGTTTTGAGCTGGAGAGGAACAAGCAGTTGGAGTAGGCTGAGTCTGAGATGCTTAAAGGTCAATATGGAGATACAGAATGGAGTATGGCCTCGGGGCACGAGATAATAATTGGGAGGAGTTGACTTGGGGATGGTATCTAAAGTCTGGTAAGTAAAGTCTGGAGACTCAAGGTGAGTTCCTACACAGAGCTAACAAGATAAACGGTCTGAGAATAAGGGAAAAAAATACATATATATGTATATATATATACATTTTTCTAAAGAAAAGTGTTTAAGATAAAAATGTATTATTTGGTTGTGTTTTTCCTCAATCTGGTGTGCATTATAACTCTTCTAATTTTCATGTGGAGTCCTGGTGTGGCGCTGTGGGTTAATGCGCCAGACTGCAAAGCCTTTTGAACAGCAAGGTCTGCGGTTCAAGCTCACCAGCTGCTCCTCGGAATCCACAGGGTCGCTGTGGGTCGGAATCGACTCAATGGCACTTAACAACAACAACAACAATTTTCAATAGTCTGTAAGCTAGGCCAAAGAACTTTTAGAAATAATGAGCAAGGAAGGTTCATGTTAGCACATGCTGTCTATTCTTTAAGATGTTTGTAGAATGTGATAAAAAGCCCATCATTCAGTGATTTCATTACTTAGCACAAGAATGACACAATCTTACATCAACTCTATGTGAGGATACCCTGTAATCAGGAAAGGGTTTTCGATTTTGTGTTTCTCCCCAATTTGAGAATAAAGAAGGAGCCCTGATAGTGTAGTGGATTATGAGTTGGGCTGTTAACCGCAAGGTCAGCAGTTTGAATCTACCAGCCAACCTGCAAAAGAATGATGAGGCCATAAGTTTTCTATGAAAACCTCTCGGAACTGACTTGACCGGCACACAACCACCACCGTCACCAGCAGCAGCAGCAGCAGCAGCACTGAGAATAAAGAAAGGGAGTAAAAACATTTCCCCTTTAAGAATTTGTAGTTTACTTTCAGCATTGCCTAAAGGAAGCCTATTGGTTTAAGACCCAGGTAACGTGTATAACGGTATTTTGGGGCCAAAGGGCTTGTCCCTTGATGTTGGTTGTGACTCTTCACAACTCAGGTGGCAGCCATGGTCACACAGCAACACCAGATGCTTTCTCTCCCACTCTGCTGACATCTTCCCTTCCTTATCTGGCTTCTTGTAGGGGGAAAATATACCTTATTGTATCTCAGGATGAGATGCTGGTGTTTTTACTGTTAAATTGTTCATAAACTAAATTGAGTCCCTTTCCTCTCGGTAGCAGTTATTGTTGCTCCCGTGATGTGGAGAACTGAGCTCTTGACATCAATGATCAGAAACATTTTTTCTTACCACGCAGTCAGGCAAACACTTAAATTTCATCAAATCTGTCTTTGTTTTCGAGGCCATCCACAGTGTGAGGCCGGGATCTGCCCTTAGCCCCATAGCCCTCTGTGCAGACAAGCTTCAACTGGAACAGGTCTGTGAGCACACTTAATTACCCCTGCCTTTGCTCTAGTTTTCTTCTGCCTTGGACACGGCTAAAATTCCATCTCCTCTCCAGATTAAACAGTCTTCCACAACTCATTTAGCATACAATCCTATGTTTCTTGGTGATTTCAAAAGCCATATTAGGTATTCTCCCAGATCACTTACCTCTGAGTTCCCTGACCTGTCTTCAAATCCTCAGCCACCATTCCATGCTTTATTGCATATCTTGTCATTACAAGTCATTGAGCTACCTTCCAGAATCTCAAATTTCAAGGTCCCAAGCATGTTCACTATGGACTTGTGGTGTGGTGCTGTACGATAAGCACTGGACTGCTAACCATAAGGTCAGTGGGGTCATTTTAAGCCAGAACCAACTTGACAGCACTTCACAGGAAGTGTGTCCACTGGCTCACTCCCTCTAGTACACCACGTTTATTTTACTACCACTGCAACCTGGGGCCCATTGATCCCCTGACCTTTTCCTTATCCCTCAGTTCCTGCAGGGCCTGACTTGTCTCTATAACCATACTCCATCAGTCTGTTTACTCCCTTGCATGAACTTACAGCTTCATTACTCTTTCTTCTCTTCCTAATCAAACAAACAAACCAATTACCATCATGCCAGTCTAATTCACAGCAACCCCATGTGTATCAGAGTGGAACAGCACTCCCTAGGGTTTTTTAGTGGCTGATTTTAGTAGTAAGATTACCAGGCCTGTTTTCTAAAGTCCTCTGGGACCCTCCAGCCTTTCTAAGGTCCTCTGGGAATCTCCAGGACATTAGCCATTTGTACAACTCAGAAATTCCATAATTCTTACTTGTAAAACCCACACATACACACACATACCCCCAAAAGATAAATAATAATCTTGGGTCCATTCCAACTCATAGCAATCCTATAGGGAGGACCTCTAAACATTGGAGTTGGAGACGATGAGGAAGAACCTATAAGACAGACTGAAAAGGCACAGTCTGTTATGTAGTAAAAAAACCAACAGAGAAAGGGGTCCTAGGCAACAAGTTAAGGAAGTCTTTTAAAGAGGGACTAATCAACTCTTGTCAAAAGCAGGTGACAGTTCAGGAAAATGAAGCCTCAAAATTGACCATTGGTGACCAGGATAAGGATACTTTTGGTGAAGTAGATTTAGGAGAGACTAGGTATAGAATTGAAAAGAACTGGCACAAATCTTTAAAAAAGCATCTTAAAGGCATTTTGCTATAAAGGGGATTAGGTGGAGTGTGTGATTAACTAGGGTTAGCATTTTTCTACCAGCGTTCTGTGGGAGGAAACTCATTGTCAGTACTCCTTTGCTGTTGTTGTTAAGTCCCACTGAATTGGTTATGACTCATCGCGACCCTGTGGAGGGTTTCTGAAGAGTGGCTGGTAAATTTGAACCACTGACCTTATAATTCAAATGACTTTGAGGTTCAGTGCTTATCCTTTATGCCTGGACCCCATTAGAAGGGATACACAGGAATCAAATTGACTACATGTATGGGAAGAGACAGTAGAAAAGCTCAATACAATTAGTCAAAACAAGGTCAAGGTCAGACTGTGGAACAGACTACTATGCAAGATCAGGCTGAAGCTGAAGAAAATAAAAACAAGTTTAAGAGAGCCAAAGTATGACCTTGAGTGTATCTCACCTGAATTTAGTGACCATCTTGAGAACAGATTTGATGCATTAGGTATTAATGACTGAAGACCAGAAGAGTTGTGGGATGACATCAAGAACATCATACATGAAGATGTACTACAAAGACAGGAAAGAAAGAAAAGATAAAAATGGATGTCAGTTTGAAACTTGCTCTTGAGCATACAGATACTAAAGCAAATGGAAGAAATGAGAAAGTAAAATAGATGAACAGGACATTCTAATGGGTAGCTTGAGAAGACAAATTCAAGTATTATAACAAAATGTGCAAAGATCAGAAGTTAGAAAACCAAAAGGGAAGAACATGTTCAGCATTTCTCAAGCTAAAAGAACTGAAGAAAAAATTCAAGTTTTGACTTGTAGTATTGAAAAATTCTATGGGCAAAATACTGAATGAGTCAGAAAGCATCAAATAAAGATGGAAGGCCCCCTCTGTACACAGGATTGACAGGGATGGGCAACTTAGACATGGCTACCCAAAATGGCAGGGCTACAAAGGCATGAAGTGACTAGCTTACAAGTTTCCAAGAGGGAGATTAGTTTCACAGGGTGCAGGGGAAGGTAGACTCTCCACTGAGTGATTTCCAACCTGTCTGGATGGGGCTGGTGAAAGGAGTTGGGGATAAGACTCTTGTGGTTCAGTAGTGAATAATTGCTATCAGGACTGATTGTGAATATTGCAAATGTAAAAGTAGACATTTTGTAACAAAAGGAGGGAAGTGGTTGACCAGGAGGCAGGCTTGCAGGGTATGCCCTTTGGTTGTTTGAATGGCTGTGTATTCCTGAGTGCTTCAGTGCACATCCCCCTCTGCACCCCCGGCCAATAAAAAAATAGGGAATAGAAGCAAGTGCTGTTGAATGATGATGAATGGAGGGGATTGTAATCATTGCAATAAAATGATATACATTAGGATGAATGTAAAGCTGATATTCTCCCATGTAAACTATCACTCAATTCACAATAAAAATGCAAAAAGAAAAAAAAAAAGAAGATGGAAGGAATATAGAGAGTCATTGTTTCAAAAAGAAATGGTTGATGTTCAACCACTTCAGGAGAGGTAGCAGATGAACAAGAGCAGATGCTACTGAGTGAAGATGCCCAAGCAGTTCTGAAGGCATTGGAGACAAACAAAGCTCCAGGAATTAATGGAATACAAATTGAAATCTTTCAACAAACTGAAGCAGTATTGGAAGCACACACTCATCTATACCAAGAAATTTGGAAGACAGCTACACTTGACCAACTGATTGGAAGAGATCCATATTTGTGCCCATTGCAAGAGAGGAGACCCATGGAATGAAGAAACCATCTAACGATATCATTAATATCACATGCAAGTAAAATTTTACTGAAGATAATTAAAAAATGGTACACTGATAGGGAACTGCCAGAAATCCAAGCTGGATTCAGAAGAGGACATGGAATTCAGGAGATCACTGATCAATCTTGGCTGAAAGCATACGGCATCAGAAAGATGTTAGTTGTTATTAAGTGCTGTGGAGTCGGTTCCAACTCATAGTGTCCCTCTATAGGGTTTCTGAGGAGCAGCTGGTGGGTTTGAACTGCTGACCTTATATTTGACTAGATTTTGACTAGATTGATCTATTCCTGGTGTAGCACTATAGGATAAGCATTTTACCTCAAGGTCAGTTTGACCTACAAGGTCATCAGTTTAAACTCACCATCTGCTCCTCAGAAACCCTACACAGGGTCACTGTGAGTGGGAATTGACTCAACAGCATTTAACAGCAACAATTCATTGCTTTATCTCTATCACCGGGAGTAGTGGCTGGCACGAAGAAGACAACAAATACTTGTTGGATGAATAAATCTGTAAAATGGGAAAATGAAAGTATCTATTTCACGGAGTTGTGGGGATTAATGAGTTAAACATATGTAAAAACTCTTGGGACAGCACCTGGCACAGAGTAAGTCTGAGTAAATGATGGCTGTTATTATTAAAGAGGAACCAAATATATTTGGCTATTATGGGCATCCTGGGGCTTTATCAGGCTATTTTTCCTTCTAGTTACATCAGATATAGGATTTGCTCTCTACAGAAGGTTCTTTGTCTCTGCAAATGAGTCACCGGTGAGTTATTTTTTATTTATTTTTAAATTAAAATTTGTTTATTATCAATAAATAAAAAGTGTCATCAAATTGGGACAAATAATCTGTGATTTTGAGTCCCTGGGTGTGCAAATGGTTAATGTCCTTCCTTGGCTACTAAGGAAAGATTGGTGATCGAGTTCATCCAGAAGTGCCTTGGAAAAAGGGCCTGGCAACTTACTTCTAAAAATATCAGTCATTGAAAAAAATCTTTGGTGCACAATTCTACTCTGACACACATGGGGTCACTATTAGTTGAAATCAACTCAATGGTAAATGACTATTATTTTTTTTAACTCTAAAAAAAATGTACTTGGCAAATTTCCATTTGGAAGTTAAGAAAATTACTAGGAAAACCAGACTTTTGTTCTTCTCACTTAACTCTCACAGCCCTGACACTGGGCTCCTCCTTCTGAATACTTGCCATATCTGATTGCTTACAAGAGAGAAGGGACATCAGTGGCTACAGAAATGATCAGCAGATTGGAAAACAGTGATGATAATTTGGAGCCCGTTAACGGACACAGATTTCTAGTTTTGCTTTTGAATTTGGTAGCTTGTTGAGTATTTGTATGCATATCTGACTTGTGTTTTAATTGACATCCCATTGATGTGGGCTCAGATTGTGCTGTTACAGCAACTCAAGTCCTATTTTCTTGGTTGCCATTGTATTTTGTTGTTAAATGCCGTCGAGTGGGTTCTGATTCATAGCAACCCTATAAAAGGTTTCCAAGAGTGACTGGTGGGCTTGAGCTGCCGACTTCATGTTTAGCAGTCCAGTGCTTACCATATCGTAATGATAATCAAGAAGAATGAGAACCGATGGCTCTGTCTTGAGTACTCAGAGGGGACAATATTGACATTTGTTTTGGCTTTGTACATTTTAGCTTATCTGAGTATTTGGGCTTTTCCGTCTCAAATTTTGTGTAGTTTTCTAGACTTTTAGACTCTGATGGTATTTGTGTTTGAGTGAGATGTAACTGCAATATGTAGTTAGCATGTTCTTTACATTTTTTTTTTTTTTCTCTCTCCAAAGGTGTCTTTTGCAGCTCATATTGCAGGTGGATTTGCTGGAATGTCTATAGGTTACACTGTGTTTAGTTGCTTTGATAAGGCCCTGCTGAAAGATCCACGGTTTTGGATAGCCATCGCTGCTTATTTAGCTTGTTTCATATTTGCTGTGTTTTTCAATATTTTCCTTTCACCAGCAAACTGATCTGCCCCCAGTATAAGCCCATTAATAAGAAAACATCAGCTGGGGGAAAACTGGAGAACTTTATCAAGAAACAGTGAAGTTCTAGCAAATGCTAACAATTTTACAAAGAGGATAAAATGCAATACAAGGATCGGATACATAAAAACCTAGTGCTTAAAGAAGGGGCTTATCTTTCATGAATGTGCTTAGTTGCATAATGAGGGCGGTGAAGTAGAATCCCCACTGAATAGTTTCTCTCTTTCCCACATAGATGTGGTAAAACGGGATGGGGGGTGACAGTGATAGGATTTATGACTCAACTGTGAGTAATTGTTAGCGTCATTAATTATGATTGTTACAACTGTAATTGTAGAAGATGTGTAACTAAAAGGAGGGAGAGGGTAATGTTTTATTTCAGGAACAGAGGACCCCAGGACCCTCAAGAAAGAAGAACTTAACTGGAGCGTGAGATCCCTACCTAAAACAGCAGAGACAGCAAAAATGGTGACTGTGTGCCTGCAGGCAGGAGGCTGGCTGGCAGAATGTGCCCTTTGGACATTTAAATGAATATATATTTTTTTGTTTTGTAAATGTACATCAGATATTTTGTCTTGTTCATTTATGAAATATAAGATGTAAATGCGGAGCCACAGGGAGGAAGATGGATAAACGTTGCAGGGAATGAAACAAGGTAGATGGTTTGCTGAATGTAAAACTGATGATCTTGTCTGTAAACCTTCACCCAATTCACAACAACAGAAGGGACTTACTTAAGCAAAGGGAGGGAAGAGGAAGAGAGAAAAGGAGATGGTTAATAAAAATCAGAAATTGGGTCTTTCTCAGCCATATGTATGTGTGTATATATTCTATTAAAAGAGACTTGATAGAATCCATGGGTATTACATACCCAATTCACATCAGACCGTTGATAGTTAGTTTTAGATAGATCACTGTTGTTGTTAAGTGCTGTTGAGTCGACTCTGACCCATAGCGACCCTATATAGGGTTTCCGAGGAGCAGCTGGTGAGCTTGAACCGCTGACCTTGCAGTTCAAACGGCTTTGCAGTCTGGTACATTAACCCACATCGCCACACCAGATCACTGCTAGGGGTGCTTTATATACATTATATACATGCTAATCTTTTTTGACAACTCAGGAAGGTAGCTATTACTCTGTGTTATAGAAATGTTGTTAGGTGCCACCTAGCTGATTCTGGCTCAGAGCAGTAGAACTGTCCCATAGGGTTTCTTAGGCAGCAAAGACTGTGAGGATGACAAAGGACGGGGCAGGGTTTCGTTCTGTTGAACATAGGGTTTCTTTCAATTAAAATCAACTCAATGGCACTTAACAATGCTGACAACAATAACAATAATCTCTATCAAAAGTAGGACATGGAAACTCTTATAATCAAGGAACTTGTCTATGATAGTGGTGGTGGTTGTGTGCTGTTGAGTCAGTTCCAACTGATAGTGACCCTATATGAGGCTATAAATCTTTATAGGAGCAGAAAGCCTCATCGTTCTCCCATGCAATGGCTGGTAGATTTTAACTGCTGACCTTGTGGTTAGCAGCCCAACCTGTAACCCACTATGCTACCAGCGCTCTTTTGTCTGAAATGAGGCAGTTTAAATGTCGGTAATGACCTGAAAACCTGTTTTCTCGTCTCTACTGGCCTGCTGTTTTAAGTGCTATGGAGTCAGTTCCGACACATAGTGACCCTGGTTTCTGAGGAGCGGCTGGTGGATTTGAATCAGTGACCTTTTAATTAGCAGTACAGTGCTTATCAGACAGCAACACACCAGGACTCCCTTACTGGCCTAGCAATACTGTAGTTCCCAAATATTTGAAGTCAGAGTATCATAGGAGTATAAACATCTCGGTGGGCACACTAGTACAATTCTAGAAGGCAATTTAGAATTTGCTGGATTGCTAGTTTGAGATTCGATCAGTTTGTCTAAGAGCCCACGGACTTGTAACTGGCTTTCCTGGTGTACACTATTTACCTGTACTCTTTGGACTCTTGTAAGAGTCTCAATATTTATGTAGCTTGTGGTTGTCCTAGGAATGGGTAGAATTTATTTACAAAAGATAAAATAGATCTGAAAGCTGACAAGCCTTTGTCTTTTTCCAGTACAAAACTCAAACTGCTAGCCATTTTGCTTTCCAAAATGACAGCTTTAGGTAATCTGAAGATGGGAAATAGTTTTGTCTTACCAATCTTATATTTTATTTATTAAACATCTAACTAAACATGTTGTTGTTATGTTTGAGCCAATTGCTGCAGCCACTGTGCCTGTCTGTACTTCTTCCAAGATGAATGTATTCACACTTCTGGCTGTCCATGGTACTTTTCAATATTCTTTGCCAACACTCTAATTCAAATGCATCAGTTTTTCTCTGATCTTCCTTATGCACTGTCCAACTTAACACATACATATAAGGCATACTCATAACGTGAGTCAGGCACACCAGAGTCTACAAAGTGACATCTTTGCTCAATGTAGTAGTATTTTGATTTCTTGACTGCTGCTCCTATGAGCGTTGATTGTGGATTCAAGCAAAATGAGGTCTTTGACAACTTCAATTTTTGCTCTATTTACCATGATATTTTTTATTGATCCCGTTTTATTGAGTTTTTTCTTTACATTGGGTTATAATACAACTGAAGGCTATGTTCTTTGTTTGACCTTCATCAAGTCATCTTTGTTTTCAGCAAGCAAGGTTGTGTAATTTGCAGGTTATTAACGAGCCTTCCACCAATCCTGATGCTGTGTTCTTTTTCATATAATAAGCTTCTGGGATTTTGTTTGCTCAGCATACAGACCGAATAAGTATGGTGAAAGAATGCAACGCTGACGCACAACTTTCCTGAGGTTAAACCATGAAGAATTCTGTTCAAATGACTGCCTCTTGTTCTGTGTACAAGTTCCCTAGAAGCACAATGAAGTGTTCTGGAATTCCTGTTCTTCACAATGTTATCACATAGCAACAATTGTGAGGATGGTGTGGTATTGGGCAGTGTTTCATTCTGTGTACGGTTACCATAAATTGGAACTGACTCAATGGCACCTAACCGCAACAAATATGTTGCTGTATTCTGAAAGGACTTCACACATTTAATTAGCTATAAAGAGAACAGCAGTATTTTAGTATTTTGAGAAAAATTGATCTAGGATTTGCTAAATATTTTTTAAATTAAAAAAATGTATATGAGTATGTTCTTGATTAAACAAAGATTCAAACAAGAACTTAACATAAAAGGTAAAAGCCCCTTTCACATTTTTGCCCCAAGCCTGCTTTTTTTCCTAGAGGGAACTGCTGGCAACAGTTTGGGGGGTGTCCTTGTAGGCCTTTTTCTATCTACAATTATACATACAGGATATAGATTCTAACAAGATAAATGACATAATTGTACATGTACTGCTCTGCAATTTGATTTACAACATGATTGAGAGATCTTTCTCTGCTAGATCCTAGGTATCTCTATTGTATGAATTTCTGAATGACTCAGATGTACTACAGTTTATTATATCCAAATCATTCAGCAGTTGCTCCATGGGAGAAAGATGGGGCTGTCTGCTCCTGTAAAGATTCACAGCCTTGGAAACCCTACAAAGGGTTGCTATGAGTCAGAATTGACTTTCTGGCAGTGGGTGTGGTTTCTGGTTTTATAGTTTATTAGTGTTCCTGGGTAGTAAAAATGGTAAATGTGTTTGGCTGCTAACTGAAAGGTTTAAAGTTTGAGATTAACCATAGGTGCCTTGGAATAAAGGTCTGGTGATCTGTTTTTGAAAAAACCAGCCATTGAAAAGCCTTTGGAGCGCTGTTATACTGACACACAGGGGTACCATAAGTAAGAATTGATTTGACAGCAACTGGTTAACTCATTATAGTTTATTTAACTGTTTCTCTACTGGATATTTACATTGTTGCTGACTTTGTATGATTGCCAACAGTATTATATGAACATACTAGTACATGCAGTGTGCCTTTGAGTATGTCTGTTGATTATGTGAAAGTTTGTTGAATATTTCAGGCATCCAGAAGCAGAAATGTTGTTGTTGTTAAGTACCATCGAGTCGGTACCGACTCACTGTGACCCTATGCACAACAGAATGAAACACTGCCCGGTCCTGGGACAATCTCACAATTGTTGTTACACTTGAGGCCCACTGATGCTGCCACTCTGCCAATCCATCTCGCTGGGGGTCTTCTTCTTTTTCTCTGACCCTCCACCTTACCAAACATGATAGCCTTATCCAGTGACTGGCCCCTCCTGACAATATATCCGAAGTATGCGAGACCAAGTCTGACCATCCGGGCCTCCAAGGAGCACTCTTCTTCCAACACAGATCTGTTTGTCCTTTTGGCAGTCCATGGTACTTTCAATATTCTCCTCCAACACCATTAACTCAAATATACATCAATTC